ATACATGAACGTCCCAAGTGTTGGTCAATAAATTTATTGAATTTAGTCGTTCATCGAAGGTCTTCTTGTGATAATTTCCGTTATCTGCATACCCATCATGCTATTCGGAAAGCCGATCCATTTCTTGATGGAGCAGAAGAAAAAGAAGCAAGCGTTGGGAAGCAATATGGTAAGCGTGCCCATAGTATACCGTAAAAACTTTATAACACAATTTAGTCCGTTCGCGCAAACGTTGTATCCGACGATTCCGAGATCATCATTAACGGAAGCAAGAAGGAGAAGAACGGAGGTGCCGAGAGAGGTGATGCCGCACCGGCAGCTGTCGCGACATCTGGAGGAGCGGCACATGCTACTGCTGCTGCTGCTCATGAAGATGAGGTAAGTAGAAAGTCACCTTTGTTACGGTAATCCTACAGTAATCACTACGGTAATTCTAGGCATTCGGAGACATTATGGTCCACCAAGCTATCCATACTATCGAATACGTCCTGGGTTGCGTTTCTCATACAGCTTCTTACCTCCGATTGTGGGCGTTGTCGCTTGCTCATGCACGTATGTTTATCTTTTTTCATTAGATGGTTACGGGTAATTCGTCGCACGCGGGGACAGGCGTCATTTAGACGCTGTCTGCGTCTCTCACATCAAATCTATAACCGTCTGCGTCTCCTCTTAACACGCACTATCTTGCCAGGTCTCCGCGTACGATGAATTGCTCGACTTATAATTGAACTGAAAATTCTCAATTTTGAAAATTAGAAACCTTACCAACTCTCGTTTTTTAAAGCCCTTAACGTGTCTTTCAGAGCTATCCGAAGTGCTTTGGGAAATGGTGCTACACAACTCGTTTGGACTAAGCGGAATTTTTGGATACATCGCTCTTTACGTAATCTTCTTTGTCTTCGCTGTGCTTACCTTCTCAATCCTTGTACTGATGGAAGGCCTATCCGCATTCTTGCATGCTCTCCGTCTACATTGGTAAGCGCTGATTCCATTCAGTGCAACAAATTCACCTTCAAACTTTCTATCTTTCAGGGTGGAGTTCCAATCCAAGTTCTACCTGGGTCTTGGCTACGGCTTCGAACCCTATTCATTCAAGAAGGCACTCATGGTGGAGTAAACAATCTTCGTCAGTGTTTTCACTCATCGAATGTTTTCATCGAATTCGACATAATCTTAGCATAATTATAGCCTCACGCTATAATTGCACCATTTAATCCTTGTTGTTCCGGTACAGAAACTATCAAAGATCTTGCCCCCTCACATTCCAGTGCTTCTCATCTTCACTTAGATACCTTGATAACGATTCGATTCGATTATTACTGATAGTTTAGTTTGAAAACGGTAGCGTTACACATTGATCGGTTAGTTAAACGATGTGAGTTTAGAGGAAATTGTTAACATGAAATTGCGTTGAATAAAGAATTTTTCGCAAAAGTTAAAGAGAAATTGGATAACACCATGTATCTGAAGTCGATTTCCTCGCGGAGCGAAAAGCGTCCAAGTTAGGACAACGAAATGCGATCAACAGAGACGATAACAGATAAATTCAATAGAAAAAGATCAAATGAAAGTTTTTAAGGAAACAGTCATTAGTGTTCTGCAGAGCGAGCAACACGAGACCGCTATTTTTTCCGTTTAAGACTGGCTTGAGATCTCTAATTTCTCTTAAAAGCTCCTCAGCAGTCAGACATCCATTGCAAAAAAATATATATATACTAGTTG